CATAAATACACTTAACATAAATGCTGGACTCCAGCTGAAAGCCAACCCCACAAAGCAGACCGCAGTATACTGAGATGCAAGAGCAAGACGGTGCTTTTCACTGATGGGCAAGCGTTCAAAGTGTGATCACATGGGCACTGCTAACTACTGGGGTTCAGTTCTCCCACTCTGGACACTTGTACACGCTAGAGCAGGTATAATCATGTTTAATGAAATCAACTCTAGATCCCACTTCTCCAAACCCACCAGAACCCACATCACAGCAAATCCTCTCAGCCTGTGTGATTGCAGAGAAACCCAGAGTTAGAAGCTGGATACAAGCAAGGCCGTTATGTCTGCCCGAGTCTGTAGACAGCTACCACTCAACGATGGGGCAGCAACAGCTACAACCAGTGGAAAGTGGTCCACTTGACTCCAAGGCCTCCATAAATGCAGCGCTGAGCTTGAGCTGCTTTTGAACACGTAAGCTACCTGCACACAAGATTTGGATAGCCACAGATCTCTGAAGGATTGGCTTTCCCTTTTTCACATTTTAACGGTCCTCTTTTTAACTCTTCTCAGCTTCGTTAGAACCAGGAAGGATGAAGTGGTCGTGTCCCTAACCAGTGTTAACAAGATGTGACTCTACCCTGAGTCATCATCCTCTTTCTCCTCAATTGGAGATGGCTGCTCGCACCTGGGTCACTGGACACCTATGGTAATACTCATCAAGACAAACAGACCGCTTTCCAAGCTTGCTCTTCAGAGGCTACAGGAAGCAACCTTCACATTAAACAGTTATAACTTTATATTTTCACAGTATCTTCACAGCCGAAAGGACTGAAGACCTCCAACATGTGCTCAAAAGCTAAAGAATAATCTAGCAGTTTTCTGATGAAGTGTCTAGGCCAGTAGGATCTAGCCGAAGCCCTACTTACAGTCCAAGAAATTAAAAAGTTAACCCATACAGCTGCAGAATATGACTAAATATCCAATTATTGTTCTTTATTTTAGAATAAAAAAAAACTTACCATGTTTTAATAACCTCCAGTGAAATGTATTTCATGGGAACTGGAAACCATTTACATTAAATGAACCAAATGAACACCACCATTACATGAGCCCATGTGTGTATGAGTAGAACTGAGGTGCCTCAGTTGAGAAAGATCTCTGCCAGTACAATAGTCTCATCTTCCATCCTGATATACATTACATCAAAGGCTTCACTGATCAATTTCCTTGCCCATCTAAGAGCAGTCAGTAGCAAAGATGTCCAGCAGACCTACATTCCAAGCAGATGCAACATCCTACACATCTGACAAAGCAATTCAGTTCTCAAAGAAATATCCCAAAAGCACTTGTTCTGCTGGAATTATTCCAGTATTTGTTTCTTAATTACTGGGGGAAGCATCAGTTTTGGGCAAATAATTTTTTACCACTCTCTCTATATTTGAAATGAGAAACACCATGTAAGACAGAGGGTTTTTTTGCTATTTGTCTACTAAGTCTCCTCCTGAACAGGGGCATGGATGTGCTAAGGAACACCCTTGCTCACTGCATAAGCAGTCCTTCACGTGAAGTAATAAGGGAGATTGTTAATAATTTGTTATTGGCTGGGACATAATTAAGGAATGTATGAACATGATACTACCCTGCAGGTGCACCATGGCAGCAACTTCAAATTTACTGTTTAAACAGATGGACAAGAGCCCTTTAAATTTGAAAGTATTGGAAACTAAGGAAGAATTACTACTCGTAGAAGTCTGCAGAGGAAGGACGTACAATCGCTGCAACATGTAGCACAGAGACACCAACACCTGGCCAACCCAAGCCTGCAAGTGCAATTAAAAAAATCACTGTGAAGTTGCTGCAGGCTACATTTTCACTTACATGCCATTACAATAATTATGAAGTGGAAAAAACTGAGCAATAAATGTCTATTACAATGCCCAGCTACAGTTGGATTACAGTCAAGTTCTGCAACAGAAAAACTGCCAATCAACTGTGACTGCTACACAAACAATAGAAAAACCAAACGCCTTTAATATTACACCTAACTAGCCTGTAATATTGATGCTGAATCTTTAAGAATGAGCAAACCTTTTTGCTTACCACTTTTCACCTATAGCATTACTCAGAAATAAACTAATTCAGTGTTTGCCTCCTTGGTCTAAGAAAAAGTGCTCTGCACCAGTATTTGGGAGGCAGGAATTCGACATGAAGTTACTGGTAGATGGTGTGATCTCTGCTACCAACAGCATCCCATGAAGAGCAGCTAGACAGACATATTTAACACTTTAGGCTTTTTTTTTTTCCTCCTCCAAAAACCCCCAAAATCTAACGCATCTGGTAAAAAGTTTTAGTGTCAAGTCTGATTTTAACCCTTTAAACAGAGAAACAGAAGAGAGGCAAGTTACCTAGGCTCTGACACCAGGACTTATCACAGCCTGGAGTGGAACCATGCTTACTTAAACTACGCCCTGGGGTGCATCCAAACCACACAGCAAACAGGGAGGAGACTTCTCTTCCTCAAACTGCTCAAACTTGCTGAAAACTACATAAGTGACTCAGTAAATGTCCTTCCCCTGAGTCAGCACTGAAGCAGAGCTCCAGAATTGCATCCGATTTACAGTGCAGGTTAAAGACTGTAGGATTGTTCATTTTCTTAAAGGATGATCTGTGAGTAATATCCTGCGGATGTCGGGTCACTAGAAAACATGTAACCCTTGCACAAACCGAGGTTACGCTCATGTCCTGCGTTCCAACCCTTCTCTCCCTGGGTTTGCATGCGGACCTGTTGGAGCACTGCTTTACCACATCACATGGAGGAGGAGAGGTCATATGGCTGTGAACCCCATTTGTACAAAGTAAACAGGTAAATAGATTCCAGTTTTAAAATAAGTTTTAATTTATTTCATTAACTAGTAACTTGACTTCTACTGCAATAAAACAGAGTGCGGCAGGTTATTCGGATATTGTGGAGTGCTGAGATTTGGAGTTAGGCTGAATGAAAGACTATGTACAATACAAATCAGCTTTCTGTTGTGTTGTAAATTTATTCTTGTAATTTTTACCATTTATTAATCCCAAAAGACATATTGCATATTTGGAACATTTTAAAATAAGAGCCACTGTATTATTCAAGACAAGTAGTTTTGTCACATCAAAACTGATGACATGCCCAATAAAAGTATTTTCCCGAGCAAGAACTCCTTACAAGAAATATAAATAGAATATAAACTTCATAAACGATCTAGCACGAAAAGACTAAAATAGTAAATCTATTCCATACTGAAGGCAGTACTTTACCACTCATAGTATGTGTGTGGTGTTTCTGAAAAAATCAATTTCCTTACAGAGGGTACTGAAACAAATATGGGCTAGCTTTTGGATAAATTTTATTCCAATAGAACAGAATGAATTGATCATTTAACCCTTTTCTCTCAAGTCACTGATTAATATGATCATGTAAGAAAAAGTTACTTTTAGTTTAACCCAAGCTTTGGATTTGTTCATCAGATACGATGAAGAGATGACATGCCTGGAAGCGCATCCGCATTTTCAGTGTATCACCTGACATAACAAAAGAATTACATCTCCGTACTAACATCTCCATTCCCACAGTTGAGAATGATTTAATTGAGAATCTCAGTTACATCTCCATTCTTATGGTTGCTAAATGCAAGTAATCATGATTTATCTTGCCACATGCAAGCACAATCTCAGAACAGCAATGTATACACATGCACACACCCCCTCGGTGCATTAGAAGTGTTACATTTCCAGCACTTGGAATAATGCTGACCCAAATTGAGTAGACTGAAAAATTTAAACATAGTCACATGAATAATTTAGAATTAGAAGTGCCTTATAGAGGGAAGCAGCAGTAACAGCCAACAATGTGATGGGGCTGAGGGAA